ATTCTTGATAGTCTTGTTCTTTTTTAAAAAAAAGAAATGTTGTAGTTTGGTATATCCAGAACTTAATTGTTTACTGGTTGATTGTTTAGCTGTTTTATAGAAAGCAGGTTTTTTTTTTATCTCCCTGCATTTATGTCATATATGCAAATAGAGGCATGAGATATTTCATCATTTTTACACTGATACATTTTGAATTACTGCAATTATGGTATTTCAGTTCTAAAACTTTTGTTTTTCATGCCTCAAAATAAAAATTTACTTTGATTTTAATAAGCAAACGATGTAAGATCTATCCTTTTAGATTTAACTCTTGCAGAGTTCAACTGCAGATGGCTAAGATTTGTAATTCTTGCATCACAGAATTAAAGAATTAAAGTAAGCATGTCCAAAGTAATATTTAAAAATCAATATTTTTTAAATAAAAAATCGAGAGTAATTTTTAAAATCATTACCCCCCATTTCTTACAAGTATACTTAAGAGTAGGAGAGTTGGGGCCGGAGCAATAGCACAATGGGTAGGGCGTTTGCTTTGCACGTGGCCAACCTGGGTTCGATTCCCAGCATCCCATATGGTCCCCTGAGCACTGCCAGGGGTGATTTCTGAGTGCAGAGCTGGGAGTAACCCCTGTGCATCGCCAGGTGTGACCCAAAAAGCAAAAAAAAAAAAATGATGTAGGAGAGTAAGAGGACAGCTCAGGGTTTTTACTTGGTGAAGTGTCACTTGCATTACTGATAATTGCATCACTATTCAGTGGGGAAGAGAACTTAATAGAGTTAATATGGAGATAGTAACGGCAGTTCAGCGGGTCAAGCCCCCAGCAGCCTCTTGGTTCCACAATCCAAACTCGCCGCCATACCCGCAGCCTGACTCCACTGTCTCAGGACAGACCTGAATGAGATATAATCTGCTGAAAATTCTGGTATGCGAGTTTTGTGACTGAAATCCCCAGGGTTTCTCAAAGTTGGGATGGGATACCACCCCCCACTTCCCAGTATTTCTGGAAGCACTGGCTGGCAGTCACCCCCACGAACCAACTCCAGTGCTACCATGTAAACTCTGCTATGGGCCTTGCTTCAGAGACTCATAAATAAATCTCGAAACAGATCAAAAGCTGCGGTTAATCTCGGACTCATGCAAGGCTAAACAGACCAGGGTAAATCAGAGGTGGGGCAGGTCAGCCTGGTGCCCCACCAAGCCAAGTCCCTGGCAGCCGCTTGCTTCCACAGTCCAAAATCGCCACCACCTCCCTTTACTTCTGGACGCCTCAGCAGTCACATCCACACCCCAAAACTACCACCCAGTTAAAAAGTTACTTCAGCCTTACTGCCCCAATAAAAATACTGAATGCCCTGAACAAACACAATGACCTCTTAGTATCTGTATTGCAAACCATAATGCACAAAAGAAAAAGGAGAGAGAAAGAAGGAAAGTGCCTCTCATAGAGGGAGGCTGGGAGTGGGGTGGTGGGGTATTGGGGGATTGTGGGAGGGAAGCAGGGGACATTAATGGTGGGAAATATACACTGGTGGAGGGATGGGTGCTGAATCATTGTATGACTGAAACCCAATTATGAAAAACTTTATAATGATCTGTCTCACAAATATTCAATTAAAAATTTATTTAAAAAAAGTAATGTGTAGTTCATGCCCACTACAGTCAGCAGTACCCCTACATTAAAAAAATAAAACAACCCAATTCAGTTATATATATAACACCTATATATATATACACACACATACACACACATATATATTTGAGTGTGTGTATGTGTGTGGGGGAGCTGGAATGATAGCACAGCATCTGCCTTGCATGCAGCTGACCCTGGTTCGATTCCTCCACTCCTCTCAGAGAATCCGACAAGCTACTGAGAGTATCTAGCCCGCACAGCAAAGCCTCACAAGTTGCCCGTGACGTATGTGATATGCCCAAAACACCAACAACAAGTCTCACAATTTGTTGTGAGACGTTACTGGTGCCCGCTTGAGCAAATTGATGAACAATGGGAGAACAGTGCTACAGTGCATTACAGAAACTTTATACCATTTGACTTTCTAACTAAAATTTATGAATGTGCAGGTGTTTGTGTGTGTGTGTGTGTGTGTGTGTGTGTGTGTGTACGTGTGTGTGCTGACATTGTGGGAACCCAGGGCCTCATACATGCAAAGCAGGTGCTCTATTATTAGGACACAACCTTGTTCCCTGGCATAATCGTTAAAAGTAAATAACTGTGCTTCTTATCCTGAGATAGATGCTGATAATTTTGATAAAATACTAACTGATTTCTGCATGCTTATTTGATATAGTGAATGAACCAAAGGATTCTAGTCAGTGCAATAGACTACAAATAATCCCTCCATTGCATGTTTTTCATACTTATTCCTATTTTATGTTTTTGTGCTTTGGGCCACACCACGCGAAGTTCAGATATTATTCCTGGCTCTGCACTCAGGGATCACCTCTGGAGGATTCAGAGGACCATATGGGGTGCCAGAGATTGAATCTGGCTTGGCTGTTGCAAGAAAGCCCTACTTGCTGTACTATCTCTCTGACTCTCCACGTTTCTTATCCTACACGAGTCTCTGAGCGTGAAGAAAAAAGTAAAAATGTAGAAATTGAGCGATGCTCTGAGCACTCACATGGTTCACAGGTTCATTACTGGCTCAGGGAGGGCAATGCAACATTTCCCCTCCTTTGATCTGCAGATTCTCTATGGTGCTGTGGAGCTCTCACCCCCAGCCTCCCAGCGGCCATGGTCTTTGGCTTGACAGAACCACAGACCCCAACTCTCTTCTGTGTCAATTGTATGACTCAGAGAAAGGATGCTGTTTGTCTGCTGTCCTCTCTCCTGTTGATTTGCTCTGAGTTAGAAGTGAAACTCTCTCTGATCTTTGGAGGATTTTAAATGATCTCATAGTCTCTCTGGAACCATTATCCATGATTTATTCCCAAATACAGGAAGAAGCAAACTTTTGAGTATAGGGAACAATTAAAAGCTGGATGTTAAGAGAGCCCAGGGGTGACAGAGTAGCACACAGTTCTCAGGGGACTCAGTCAAAGCTAGTGGGAATCTCGGTCACCGTGGACCACTAAAATGTTATTTTTCTGCTCTAGGGACATATCCCATGGAACCACGTTTTCTTCTGTGTCCTCAAAGCCTGAGTCTGATTCTCTGTCACTGTTTTCATTTTCAAACTCTTTCCTTCCCTTTCATAGCTGTGGGGGATGTTGGAGCATTCTTGAGAGGCCCCCTTGGGAAGGTTCTGTGGTGGAGAAGGTGAAGAAGATTCTGCTGTGAAGTTCAGTTTCTCATTAGCTCCATGAGCTTTAGCCCTTTCCTATTTTCCTTTGAATTAATACTGAAATTTGTAAGATTGAGTTTTATCTGTGTTTCACAGGACAAATGTGAGCTCTGAATGAGATGTTGATAAACTCCCTATGAGGCACTATTTTCTCTCAAGAAATTTATCTTATTTTTGGATATTAGAGGGAATAGGCATTTGTCATTTCAAACATGATACATATTAGAAATATTCAATATTTTATATCTACACCAGTTTTAAAAGATTTATTTTTTTTGTTTTTGTTTTGTCTATTTAGTTGTTTATTGTGAGCTACTCATAATTATGTTTGAAAAAACTGAAAAGTATGAGAGGGAGTAAAGATAACTAAAATCACAGAAGATTTTGCATAATACTCGTCCATTCCATGAGAACCCTCACTAACATCATTTCCAGCTTCTTCACAGACAGCCTCATCTATTCATAAAGGGACATGGGCTAACCACAAGACCTACTGTGACCGATTTCTGTAATGTCTTATTTCAGTGAAAGTTTTAAGCATGTATATAGAGTAGGTATCTGCTTATAAAGTAGGTATCAGTATGCTTTACAAATGATGTCATGAATCAGAGGATTAGATTTCCAAGATTACATAACTCATGTCGTAGAGATAGAAATAGAAGCCCTAACAGAACTTAAAAATGAAATCTGTGGCAGAGCCAAGTTAATAGTATTCTACACATAATATTTTACACAGGTTTCTTAATATTCTACACAAATTTTGACCATCTATCAAAGTATACTTTGACAGTATCAAAAATTGGCATGCTAGAGCTTCATCATACCTTCTTTGTCATATATGTATTTGGTGAGGGGGCTCCCAAGTGGTGCTCAAGGGGCTCTTGACTCCCTCATCCCCCACTGATGCTTGGCTAAGCAAGCCGCAGTCCAGTGCGAGGGCCTAAGGATGCAGTGATTCTCAGTCTTTGTGGTGGAGATAGCTTGGATGACACTTGGGGACCATATGTTTCCATGATATAACAGGGTCATCTTGCTGTAAAACAAGGACCTTATCCCCCATAGAGTCTCCAAAAATATATTTCCTTGTAGTTGATGTTCAACTCTAAAAAATTCCTAGGATTCAAGGAAGTGGTATTGCGATAATCGTATAATAATTGGTATGATTTCTGTTTGAAAAAAGTATATCACAGGTTTCTGTCTTTCCACAGCTTGATGTGTCCTATAAATTCTTTACCCAATAGTTATGAAATGAAGAAATATTGTAGAGTTCTGTATATCAGTTCTATGGGGTTATAGAAACACACGGATATCTATCTTAGCCAGATGAAAAGGACAGTTTGGCAAAAACATTTCTTGATTATTTATTGAAGAGCTATAGCACAGCGGTAGGGCGTTTGCCTTGCACGCAGCCAGCCCGCCTGAGCCGGGTTTGATTCCTCCGCCCCTCTCGGAGAGCCCAGCAAGCTACCGAGAGTATCTCGCCCACACATCAAAGCCTGGCAAGCTACCCGTGAAGTATTTGATTTGCCAAACACAGTAACAACAAGTCTCAAAATGGAGATGTTACTGGGCCCACTCGAGCAAATCAATGAACAACGGGAGGACAGTGTTTGTTTTATTTAAGAGACAGGATGTGAAGTTAAGAAATGTGAGGAGGATGTTAAGAGACTGTAAATTAGCAAACACCTTAAAACCAATACCTATACCTGAGAGGTAATTACTAATTTGTGAAACACTCTTTTCAGGGACTTTTTGACTTCCTTATTTCTTAAGGAATAGATTAGCGAGTTGAGCATGGGAGAGACGATGTTATTTAAGATCTGCACTATGGCATCTAGCAAGTGGTTGGGCGTGGGCTGCAGGTAGATGATAACTACAGGTCCAAGGTAACAGAGCACAGCAGCAAGGTGGGCACTGCAGGTGGAGAAGGCTTTCTTCCTGCCCTCTGTGGACCGGATCCTCATAATGGCAATCCCAATGCATAGGTAGGAGACACAAACAGTGAACCAAAACAGTAGAGCCACAAAGCCAATAGCTGCAGAGCCCACGGTCTGAGCTTGTGAGGAATCATCACAGGCCAGGGGCAGGACAACAGGGATGTCGCAGAAGAAGTAGTCCACCTGATTTGGGCCACAATAGGTCAGTGTAAAAGTGAAGGAGGTCAGGATGGAGGCATGAACAGAGCCCACTGACCAGGCTCCCACGACCAAACCCACACACACTCCAGGTCTCATAATGAGCTTATACCGCAGGGGGTGGCAGATGGCCACAAAGCGGTCATAGGACATCACAGAGTAGAGGCAGCCTTCAGTACATCCCAGGAAGTGGTAGAAGAAGAGCTGTGTGGCACAGCCCTTATAAGAAATGGTCTGGCTTTGGCCAGAGAGATAGAGTAGCATCTTGGGACAGGTCACTGTTGGCATCACTATGTCAAAAATGGACAGTAGTCCCAAGAAAAAGTACATGGGGGTGTGAAGTGTAGAGGAGGAAAGGATTGCTATGAGGATGAGTAAATTGCCAATCAGGGTGAAGAGGTAAATGAACAAGAAGATGACAAAGAGTACAGTCTCCACTCCCCGGATTTCAGGGATTCCCAGCAGGATGAACTCACTCAGCTCTGTGTGGTTCCTCATGTTCCTACAGGGTTGGTCTGGGGAGAGACAAAACTTGTGAAAGTGTGAACGTAGAGGCAGAACTTTGAAAGACACAACAACACATTAATTATTCATATTTGGTCTTTGATCAAATATAAGGACTTTGAAATTCTTCATAAAGTATTTTCTGCTAGTACAATAAGACTACGTCTAGATATTACAAGATACCTAATTTTTCATGAAGTAAATTAAACACAGAAGTAAATTAAACACAGCAAGAGTATAAATGTGTGACTCTGAACCATCGACTTAATCTCATGGACATCTCATAGCAGTAATGCCACAATAGGGCATCACAGTAGCGGGAGCCTTCAATACATCGCAGTAAGTGGTAGAAGAATAGTTGTGTGGCACAATGCCCTGTGTAGACCAACCTGGAAGCCAGGTCCTTCTTATTTGCTTAGAGTGTGTCTCTGTGACATCATGTGTCACGTGGGGATATGAGGTCCAATAACCCTGTGCATCCCTTTACAGGCAAGCTTGCACACCTACAGATCTGATGAGATCTGCATTGGTGTGAGTGCAGTGAGCCCTAAGATTTGGGTTGTGTTGATTTGGCTATACTCAGATTCCTCCCCACTCCCTCTTCCTCCCCTCTCTTCCTTTCCCAAGTAGTGGTCATGTGACCAGTGGGCCACCTCTACTGTGGACACTGCCCCAACTGTGGTGGTAATCCAGTGCTAGTGCCCAGGATGTGATGTTTGGAGGAGCCTCCTGGCCCCCCACCACCACCTGTGTGAGTGTGTGTGGGTTTGTTTCCATGACTACATCTAGGTGTGCTCAGGATGTCGTGCTGGTAATTGAACCTTGTTGGACACATGTGCCCCATCTCTCGACTCCTGAATATATTTCTTATTGTGATCATTTTATTCATGTCAAGGTTCATTGTAAACAAAATAACAATGATGTAGTTAAATATTAATTTTCAAAATTAAAGGTTATTTGTGGATTAGTAGATTAATAATGGTGATTTTTTTAGTGAATTTATATCTATTCTGTAAATATTATATCAATTCTATAAACTATGAAAATTCAGATAATGATGTTATGTGTAGTTTGAGAATAGACTTAATTTTCCTTTTTCCTTCGACATTTTCAAGCTTTTTATTTTGTCACTGACATCAATAATAATTCCAGTAAATATTGAGTAACATTGGTGAATGCTAGAATCCTGGCTTGTTCCTGAGCTCAGTAAAGGCCTCAGATCTTAACATTCATCATGATGTCTGCTGTTAGTTTGATATAAGATTTTTTTAATCAAAGAATCTTTCTTGTTTTCCAACTTTGTAGCTTTTTCATATTACAAAATTGTATTACATATTATTTTTTAGTGTTTTTGTAGGGGCGAGAGAAATAGATCAACAGAGCTGGAACTACCAATTGATCACTTTTAGGTCCTGCAAAAACAAGCAAAAACAATAAAGAAAGCAAAGACATCAACCACTTCATGTTCCTGGAAAATGTGGGATATTTTTATTGTGTTTGGTACATAGTGGAGTTTTTTAAATGTGTGTTTGTCAATTGAGATAAAATACTCCTCACAGAATGGCTATTTGTGATGGAGTTTAAGAATGATTGATGCATAATCCCATGTGATATGCATTAGTTAGTTTTTAGAATAGTTGCTGTAGTCCCATTCCAAAATATCTGGAGTGCAGTTACCTGCAGGGCCACGTAGGTCAACACCTTAAGCCTGCTTGAGGTTAGAGAAAAGAAGAAGAGAAGACAAAATAAACTGGGAAAGACAAGACAAAATCATCTCTCAAAGCCAAACATTGAGAAATAATCAATTTTTGGAAAAGAAATATGAGCCATCCAAGAAGATGAAAATGTTCCTCAGATATTTTAAAGAAATTAAAGGATGTCATTCCATTTTTGTATCATACAGGTCATTCTCTCAATGAATAAGAGTATATTTTTCTGCATGTCATGTCATGGATTTATCCAACTAGCTTTTGTGGGTGTGTGTACATGAGTATGCATATGTGTGCATGGCACACACACACACGTATGTGATCAGCCCAGAGCCTCACATGTAAAAGGCCCTCTTCCTGCCCTCTGTGGACCGGATCCTCATAATGGTAATCCCTATGCATAGGTAGGAGACACATAGGCTCTGTCACCAAGATAGCTCTTTACCCCTAACAAAAATCTTATTAGCACCTCTAAGGTGCTTATTAGCCTGAGGTAATGCTGAATTAATAATTAAGAAGCAAAGTGTAAATGAACAGATATCTGCAAGCTGTCTGATATCATGAAAGGAGCAAAAGATACTACTTCCATTTTGTAAAACTGGAAGAATCACTTGTCCAAAAGTTCTCCCATAGTCTCTGAAGCACAGAAGTTTAGAATGAAGGAGAAAGTAAAAATTGAGAAGCAGAGCGGTGCTCTGAGACTCACGTAGTCCATAGGTTCATGACCAGCTCAGGGAGGGCAGCACAGCATTTTCCTTCCTTTGATCTGCAGATTCTTGTGTGGAGTTGTGGAGCTCTCATCCCTGGCCCCTGGGGGCCATGGAAGTTTTCTTGGCCTAAGAACTACAGAGCCCAAGTATCTTTTTTTCAATCCAGTGACCCAGAGAAAGGATGCATTTCATCTGATGTCTTCCCTCTCTCCTAGACGATTTGCTCAGAGTTGTAGTGAAAATCTCTCCTTATGATCTTCGCAGGATTTTAAATAATTTTCTAGTCTCTCTAGAACTCATCCATGATTTATCCCAAGACACAGGGATCAGGGAACTTGAGTAAAGGGAATAATTATATTGTGGCAGTAAAAAGAGCTGAGAGGTTTGAGAATTGCACATACATAATACTCAGAAGAATCAGTGGAGTAATTAGGACTTCCACAAGCTGTGAATTCCCCTGACCATAGTGTTTTGGTTCTGGGGACACATCCCATCACCTCATTTTGTCCTTCGTTTTCCTCAGGGACTGAATGCACTACTTGCCATTTTTGGACTTTCAAACTGTTTCTTTTCCTCATAGGGTTATTGAAGAAGGTTATTGTAATATTACTGAGAGTGGCCATTTTGGTGATGAGAAGGGTCTGCTGAGAAATTAAAGTAATTTCTCATTAGTTCTACTGTCCTTAAGCATTTCTAGGCATTAATATTGTAATTTATGAAGTGGTTTATATTTGTGTTTCATAGGATAAATGTTTACCTAATTTTCTCTTATGATTTTTTATTTTGAAGCTAGAGGGGATGCACATTTCTCATTATATTAAATACATTGTTGTAGTCTTTCCCCTTGTCCCCTAACTATTTTAATATTCCAATTTTAAAAAGAGTGTTTTTTGTTTTGTTTTTGGACTATTTTGGTTATTTATTGTTTAATTGCTAGTAGTTATAGAAAGAAATTGATGTTGTTGGAGTGAGAAAAAATATTTGTATATGAGAAATCTTTTCATAGTAATAACCAATTATGTGTATAATCTAAATAATAATTTTTTTCAAGATGTCAACATTCAACCTTATTAATCCAGTAATGTGAAAGTAAAAATCAAAAATTGAAATACTCTGATGCATGGTTTAAAAGTCTAATTTTATGACAGTTTTTTAAAATTGTCACCCTTCCTCAAAAGTGGGCATGGCCTCAAAAGTGGGCGTGGCTTAATTTCCGGCGGCTGGCTGCTTACGCGGCTGCAGGTTGTTTTCCCATACTAAGGAACCTAGTCCCCAAGGAATCTAGTCCCCAACCTACTCAGCAATATGAAGAAACAAAGAAAATCCCCAACACAAGGGGAGAACAACGAAAACAATCTAGAACATTCCGTCAATACAGCTCACCTAAGGGACCTCTCTGACATAGAATTCAGATACGAAGTCATGAAGATGTTCAATCAACTCAATGAAACAGTCAGACAGACAGCCAGTAACACCACAGAAAAAAATCGACAAATTACGAGAAGAAATGAGAGCAGAAATGTCACGATTAAAAGATTCCATAGACGAAATGAGAAACTCAGTTTCTTCTCTTAAAAATAGAATGACCACAGCTGAAGAGAGAATCAGTGAGCTGGAAGATCAGCTGCAACAAGCCAACACGCAACAACAAACAGTGGCAAGGGACCTCAAAATGGCTCTATAGAGAATCAGAGTCCTAGCAGATGATTCCAAGAGGAACAATATTAGAATCATGGGACTACCTGAAGCTCAGGGAAACAATCCCAACGAAAAAACACCGTCAAACAAATCATTGCTGAAAAATTCCCAGAGCTTCACAATGCAGCCATTCAGGTTCAAGGAGCCCGAAGGGTGCCAGCTAAAAGAGACCCCAACAAAAACACTCCAAGACATATCATAGTTAGAATGATCTGCTGATAGAGACACAATACTGCAAGCAGCAAGAGCAAAGAAGGAAATCACATACAAAGGAGCATCCCTTAGATTCACAGCAGACCTATCAGAGAAAACCCTACAAGCCCGAAGGCAGTGGCGAGATATAGTAAAAAAACTCACTGAAATGAATGCTTCACCAAGAATACTCTATCCGGCTAAACTCTCCCTCAAAATCGAAGGAAAGGTACACTATTTCATAGATAAACAGCAGCTCAGGAACTTCATAGACTCAAAACCAAACCTAAAGCAAGGCCTAAAGGGGCTACTATAAGACAAGACAAACCCTACAACCACAACACACCCGCACAGAAACATGACACAAAACCCCATAACCATTCTCTCTCTCAATGTCAACGGTCTAAATTCACCAGTTAAGAGACACAGAGTGGCAAAATGGATACAGAGACAGAACCCAACATTCTGCTGCCCACAAGAAACTCATCTCAACAGCCAGAGCAAACACAGACTCAAAGTCAAAGGATGGAAAACAATCCTGCAAGCACACAACTCCCTCAAAAAAGCTGGGGTGGCCATACTAGTATCCGACAACATTAATTTCACCTTGAAAAAGATTAGAAGGGACAGTGAAGGCTATTTCCTCTTCATCAAGGGATACGTACAACAGGAAGAAATCACACTC